GATATTTCTTGTTGGTTCTGTAGGAAACCGTGCTCTTCGCTCGTGAGAAGGTCAGCCGTGAGGAATTTGGGGTATGGATACAAAGACACCCCCGGTGGCTGCGCTGATGGCGGTTGTGCAATTTCGTTTGCTTGGGGAATTTCCGCTTCTCTGGAGTGCGTTGATGGATGGATTTCTTCGGTGCGTGGGAACAGTTCTCTTGGGGTTAGGTCTGTTGAAGAATTTTTCTTTTCTGGAGAAGATCCTGCCATAGGTGACTGTATAGGTCTTGGTGTCGGCAGTAAGGATTCTCGTGTGACCTTTGGCTGCGATATCACAGAATGGCTGGATTGAGGTGTTTCTTCCTTCTCTATTTTTTCGGGATTTTGGTCGGTGGAGCTCGTCAATTCTGAGATTTCGTCGGTTGAGTTGATTAGGGGTTTGGACTGGTTTTGCAACTCAGCCATATTCTTCTCAAATTCTTGACAGGATTCATCCAATTTTTCTTTAAATTCTGGACCCAGACTGGTTCTTCTCATTTTCTAGAGTGGTAGCAGCTGGTCTAGCAGTGGCTCTAGGGGTTCCTGGAATATTTCCTCATCCCTTTCCGAGATTTGCTCCATATACTCGTAGAAATTTTTCAGGTTTCTTTCCATTCGTTCCATGTCCAATCGTGGACGTGATGAGGGATTTGATACATCATCCTTTTCCTCTATTCGAGTTTCAGCTTCGATTATAGAAGGGGTTTCCTCGTCGGTGGAGTTTTGATCTGTAATGAATGGGTCATCCTCCAACCTTTCGTCCGTTGGGATTCCTTCAAGGGAAATTTGTAGTTGATTTCCTTTTCCTTGATCTTCCCTTTCGACAGGTATTACCGATGGTTCATCCTGTAGTGGTCGTTCTTTGGATTGAGTAGTTGTTGGAGTTGATTGCGGCATCTCCATGATCGGAGGGGTGGATGGAGTGGGGATCGTTTCTTCCACTGTTTCTGGTTTGTTCTCAATTGTGGGGCCCCGGGCAGATGATTTGGGCTTTTTGCTGATTTTGGGTGTCATTTTATAATCCCGATTCAATCTGTAGGAGATCGGTTGCCGGGTGCCGCTGTTTATTTCTGTTGCTCTTCTAGCCCGAAGCCTGTCGGCAATTAAGCTTCCCGCCGCTGGGATGGTGATAATTTTTAGGTCACTATTTATTCTAACCTTTCGATTAGGATTTGTGACTGTCCCTGGTATTTTCACACTAGACTTCGGTACTGGTAGAGCAGGCATGCAGGTTGCGAACATGACGATTTCCTCACGTTCGTCTTGAAGAGGATTTTCTGCAAAGGCGGCTGCTAACTGATTTCTCTTCTGTTTCTTGATTTCCACTTCAAACGTGAAATTATTCAGGTAGGTTTTTCACTTAACTTGCCTCGTAGTAGGGTTGCTAGAATCTCTGAGCCAGTTCAGGGCTGGGCTGTTCGTAATAATGGTGAAGGGTACTCCATAGATGTAGGGTTTGAACTGGTTTAAGGCGTAAGTAGTATGGGAACTACTATGGCGCCCCCCACCTAAAGTCGATATGGCCCCACCACCACACCTGTCAGAGTAGCACGGCTGCGACGTGTGTGATCGGTGGGGTACAGCGTGGCTGCGGGTGCGTCACCCGGGCGCGTATCCCAATCCCGAGAGATTTCGGGAGAACCGCTGATCCCTCGACCACGAAATTAAAATTTGGGGGTCAAAAATTTTACCCCCCACCGCCGCTTGTAAGTATAGAATCCCACCACCATACCGATCGGAATAGCGCGGCTCCGATCTGTGTGCGCGGTGAGGGTACAGCGGATACTGCGGGCGCGTGCCCCAACCCCGAGCGGTTTTGAGGGAACCGTTGGCCCTCCGGGCTCAATATCTATCAAAAATTCCGGAGGTCAAAATTTTTTCGAACAGGGAGGGCATACCGGTGCTCCAATAAAATCCGCGAAAAGCGTAAACATATTAAAAGAATACTTTACCTGTCACTGCACTCTCCTCACAGGGCTCCGAAAAATTCGAAAATCGTCATTGATCACCTTCTGCATGAAATCTAACTGTCACTAAACCACTAGCACTATGGGTAGTAGTTTCTCTCCGTAGGCACTGGAGAGAAACGTCAACACTACCACTCCTTGTTCAATAGTTCTTCTATGTCCCTGTCCTCATCGGACTCCGAGAACAGCGATACCTGGGCCAACTCCTCGCCCTAGCCAGGCGATCCTGGGTGTAATCGGCTGGCTCGATAACCATGGGGAATGGTCCATCCCTCTGCCACCATCCCAGCTGGGGTGGTCCACTGAGACCCCGGTGCCGAGTATCATTCTCCAGATGCTCAGCTGATGGAATGAGAGGTTGCTCTACCCGGAAAGTCCACCGGCGGTCCGGGAATCGGGGATCCAGCCCGTTATACCCGTGCCGCAACTCGTACGGGTCCGGGTCTGCCTCGATGGCGATGGGGTCCCTGTTGAACCCCCTGATTAGGGTGGACCAATCATGGTCATCAGTGGCCGAGCATGATGACAACGTGTCCGAAGCGGGTGTGGCGGGGCGCGATGGATTTGGGATATACCCGCTGATGGATGGTGTCGGCTCGTCCTGGGGGGTGGCGGTGCTAGTGGGGGATACAAAGTTTTTCCCCGTCACACGCATGATTACGCGCACAACACGTCACAAAAAAAATACCCACTCTATCACACACATACACACACAATAATCCAAATGTTTGATCACTGAAACAACACTTCTCGATAATTAAGATCTTGTCACGGCCGCGCTTCACTGAGAACTGAAAAAAATGATTATATGCTTTGGGGAGACAGCCGTTGAGTTGGTTACTCACCCTGGAACAATGTGCTGGCCATGCAGTTTTGCACGTGCACTCTGTGACATCTTCTCCACCGTAACCCACACTAGTTCTCGAAGGTCAGACTAGCCGTCTCCACATGTACTTACCTTGCAAATCTGACATTTGCAGAGACGATTTGATACCATTCTCTTTCTTATAAGAATATTCTCATCATTTAAAATTACTACATTTAATTTTAACAACTTTATTTCTCATCAAGTCGATGATTAACAATCGTTTAAAAATGTAATCAAAACGAACAGAATCAAAATGAACACAAGTTGATATCTTTTGTAATCAAAATGAACACAAATTGATATCATCAAATGGAACCAATCTTATGAACGAAACTTTCAAATTAATTACATACCTCTGTCTGAGCTCGGATCTGGTTTGGGAAATATTTTTGAGCGATGGCCAAAAAAACGATGGATTTCTACGGGAGCGCGAGAAGGTCCAGAAAACACAACACGTGCACGTTGGTCACAACAGTCAATTTAATTATAAAAGTCAAATATTTACACGTGCTAGCTTTAACTATAATTAACGAGATGGTCAAACAAATGCGCGGGTCACAAAATTATTAAATAACCACAGTTCACAGAATTTAGATAGCACAGGGCAATCAGTTCTAAGAACTTGAGCAAAATAGCGACTTCGCGGAAAAGTGATACACACTGTACGATGGCGGATATGCTAATGAGGCCGATTGAAAGACCGCAAGGTGGCAGGTGTCGATCATCGTGCCCCAATTTAAATGGGGGCGTTCGCTGGACACCTGTCCATCAAGTGGCGCCTCAGGTGTCAGAGGTGAGAGGCCACTGGTCAGTTCAGTCGGTTGCGCAGGTCAGTCCTGAGAAGCCATGCAAGCATGCGAGAGGAGCGAGTGTGCGTGAGTGTGCGTGTGTGCGAAAAACAATTCGGTGGAAAACCGAACATTCTCCCCCGCCGTCAGCAGCTGCTGACGTGACTGAGTTGGTCTGAAACAAAAAGAGATTAATCGAGCTCAGGACAAGATTTCTCGAAGATCAATATCACCATCGTAGTTCACCAGTGACGGTCAGGTGTGAGTACAGCCAAGGACGTAGGAGGCGTAAATTCCGGCAGACCCCGGCAGACTTACGTCCACTCCGGACCAGTTGCCACAGAGAGGGTCGTAAATCCTCACCATGACCCAATCCGAACATGGACTATGATGAACCCGATGATGCAGAGCTGTCATCACGTGAGATGATCCTAGATATCGCTGGTCGAGATGATCTTAAGTGTCGCTGGTCGAGATTGGCAGTAGAGCGAGCTTCAAGATGGGCCGTTGCAGAGTAGAACTGGACGTCTTAATGGCGACCACCCTGGCGAGTCCATCTCTACCAGGGTGGAGAGCGATGACTCGAGCGAGAGGCCATTTCGTTGGTGGAAACCTCTCGTCGGTGAGAAGGACTATGGAACCAATTCTAATGTCGTGAGATGGGTGGTGCCACTTCGAGATGGACTGTAGATGTTGAAGGTAGCTTGTAGACCACTGCTTCCAGAAGTACTGAACCTTCTGCTGGATAAGCTGCCAACGAGATAGGCGAGCGACGTTCAAATGCTACAGCGAAGGGTCAGGAACGGAGATTAAGGCCTGGCCAATCAGGAAATGACATGGTGTGAGCGCGCTGACGTCATCAGGAGCCTCTTATAGCAGTTCCCGCGGTCGCGAATTGAGCACGGCTTCGATCTGCGCGAGTAAAGTAGTGAGTTCCTCGTAGGTCAAAAGGGAATCGCCGATCGTTCGTTTGAGATGGAACTTCACCGACTTTACCGCGGCTTCCCATTTGCCTCCAAAGTGCGGTGCACCTGGAGGGTTAAAAGACCATCTGGTTCCATCGCTGAGCAAGAGTTGGGCTAGTTTATCCGATTCCTTAGACGCCATTGAGAAGAGCTTCTTCAATTCCTTGTCGGCTCCCAAGAAGTTCGTTCCGCAGTCTGAGAACAAGTTCTTGCAGAGTCCACGCCGGGCAACAAAGCGACGATACGCAGCGATGAATCCATCGGCTGCGTAATCTGAGACGACCTCAATATGGACTGCGGACGTGGTCATGCAGACGAAGATCGCGAGCCATCCCTTGTACGACTTATGACCACGCCCCTTCCACGAGCGGAGAGACACTGGTCCGGCGTAGTCAACTCCAGTGTTGAGGAACGCTCGGCCAGGTGTGAGACGAGCAACTGGGAGCTGGCCCATGAGCTGTTGAGCTCTGATCCCTCGCTGTCTGGCGCATGGAACGCACCTCAGGATGAATGATCTTACCGGGGCTCTTCCTCCGAGGATCCAGTAAGACCTTCTGAGTTAGTTGACCGACAGTCAGCTGCGTTCCTCCATGCAGAGTCCTCAGATGGACATCCTGAATGATGAGCTGAGCGAACTGCGAATCCCAAGGTACGATGATCTGATGCTTATTTTCGCAGTCAAGCTGAACAAATTTCAGGTGCCCTCCAACGCGTAGAACTCCCCGGTGGTCCAGGAACGCTGTCAATCGAGTGAGCGAGTGAGACGAATTAAGACGTTGCCCTCTGGACAAGGTCGTAAGCTCAGCTGAAAAATCCGCAGACTGAGTGAGCTTGACCCAAAGCAGTCGGGCCTGCTCGATGTCACCAGGGTTCAGAGCTGTTGCTAACGATGATCCAGGAATTCTTCTGAGACGAGCAATGATGCATTGGCAGATGGCCGTAATTCGAAGCAATCTGTTGAGTGAAGAATAGCGATGAACTAAATCCCCAATCTGTATACGCTGGACCTTCACGTTCAGAACGACACCAGGTTTCTCTTCAAGATCTGCTGATGTCACTGAAGCAAGCTCTAGAGATGGCCACGTCGATGAGCTTTTCATGAGCCACGGTGGTCCGTGCCACCAGAGTTCATGTGCAGAGAGCTGCGCTGTCGTTAGTCCACGAGATGCGCAGTCAGCTAGGTTTTCCTTGCCAGGAACGAGTTTCCATTGAGCTCGTGAGGTCTCTTGCATGAGTTGGACACGATTTTTCACGAACTCTTTCCATCTGGACGGGTGCGAGTTGATCCACGTAAGCGCAACTGAGGAGTCGGTCCATAAAAACGTCGGAGCGTTCGAGAGATTGAGCTCTCCTTTCACGTACTTTACGAGTTTGGCAAGCATAACCGCAGCTGTGAGCTCTAGCCTTGGGATTGTCAGCCGTTTGAGAGGAGATACTTTCGTTTTAGCGCAGACCAAAAAAATCTGAGGCTCTTCATCTCCATTAACGATTTTGAGATAGACTACGGCTAACATCGCGAGAACAGAAGCATCTGAGAATCCATGGATTTCAATCGACGAGTTCTGGAGAAGGCCTAACCATCTTGGAACAGATAACTTCGAGAGCAGAGTGAGATCATTTCGAAAACTTTTCCAACGCTGGGCAACTTGTTCTGGGACTTCCTCATCCCAACCGAGCTTTCCAATCCAAGTCTCCTGCATGAGCAGTTTCCCTCTGATCACGATAGGAGATAGAAATCCGAGTGGGTCATAGATCTGAGCGATCTCTGAGAGGATATTCCTCTTAGAAACCTTCGATTCATCGCTGGTCCGACTTGAGAAGACGAAGTTATCCGAGCTGGGCTGCCACGACAAGCCAAGAATCCGGGTCTCCGAATCCTCATAAACTCGCTGGTCATTGGAGGCACTATCAGGAGCGAGCCACTGGAGTAGCGCTGGACTATTACTATGCCATTTTGCCAGAGGCATTCCTCCAGCAGCGCAGAGATCACGAACTTCTTTCGCAGTCCTAACGAGTTGGTCATGCGTATCCGCACCTCCACAGATGTCGTCAACGTATCTTCCTTTTACGATAGGCGAGACGGCCAAAGGGAACCGATGTCCTTCATCCTCAGCCAGCTGAAGAAGAACACGGTTTGCGAGAAACGGAGCTGATCTCGTGCCGTATGTGACTGTTGTCAGTTGATACGTGACTAGTTCTCCACGTGAGTCGGTCCATAGAATCTGCTGCAGGGCCCAGTCATCCTTGTGAACTCTAATCTGGCGGAACATCTTGGTGATGTCCGTCATGAAGATGACTTTGTGCTGTCTTGACCAGAGCAGCACGTCTGAGATATCCCTCTGCAACTTGACTCCTGTGTGGAGAATGTCGTTGAGTGATTTCCCCGAACTGGTCTTCGCTGATCCGTTGAACACTACTCTCAGTTTCGTCGTTTCACTGCTCTCTCTGACTACACCATGATGAGGTAGATAGTAACTCTTTTGAGCGTCAGACGGCCCTACCTGAAGCCCTTCAGAGACCCTCAACCCTCCTGAAGCTTGCGCTCCATGTGCTAAGGTCGTCTCGTCAGAACGACAAGCGGAATTCGCCTAAACCGAAGACGAAGAGCGATGAGTCGAGCGAGTTACTAATCTCATATGGTCGAGATCCTCATACTCCTTGAGAAAGTCAGAGTAAAGCTGGAGAAAGCGCGCATCTTTTGAGATTCTAGCAAGCATACGATGAATACGAGCTAGCGCTGGATGATAGGAACTCCCTAATGACGAAACTGGAGCTGAGAAGGGCAAACGAACGACATATCGACCTGAGCTATCTCTTGAGTGAGTCTGACGGAAGTGGCGTTCATACTCTAATTCTTCCGTTGAGAGATTCGCGTCAGCACGCCCAGGAACTTCCTCCTGAACCCAAAACTTCGTGAGAAGGTCATTCTCAGAAGCTCGTCGTTCGATACACTGAGGTGATGAGAAGAGCAAGATGTTGGTTGATCAGGTCCCGCTGGTCCGTAAACAATCCAGCCAAAGCTGGTGAGTTGAGCGACTGGAGCCTGAACCCCTCCTCTGATCACATTGGGCTTGATGACCTGACCAAAAACATCAGCACCGACGAGAAGGTGAATTGGTGCAGAGACTCGGAAATGAGTATCAGCAAGCTCTAAACCCCCCATGATCCCACTTGAGGCCCTCTGCTGAGAAGGACGGTAGCGTTGAGGTGATACGTTCAACGGAGTGAGCTGTAACTTCAATGCGTTCTTCTGAGTGAATCGATTTTAGCGTGAGATGTACTTCGCCGGACGTTGTCCCAAACGATGATCCTCCCACTCCTGTTATGTGGACAGAACTACGAGTTTTCTTTAATTTCACCTTCCGAACTAGTTGATCTGAGATGAGCGAGAGTTCGGAGCCTGAATCCAACAAGAGTCGAACTTGATGCGGAGGGCAATACTCGCTCACTAGAAGAGCTAAACAAGTTGCGAGAAGGACTCCAGGCCGAGAGGTTTGCGCAGAACAACTATGGGCCGAACAAGGAATCGACGCTTGGGACGGTCCGCTTCAGGCCTGAGAATGAGCAGCATCACCGAAGTGTACATCACGACAGGCACGTTGGTCGATGGAGCAGAAGCACTCGGGTGCTGAGCTCCTGCATCATTGCGAGGGACTTGAGATGCTGGACCACGTTGAGCTGGACGACGAGCGCGATCAAAATGCAGCAGGGAATGGTGCCTCTTCTGGCATGTCCTGCACGTTCGAGTGGTCTGGCAGACTCTGATACTGTGCTTCCCCAGACAGTTGTAGCACAGGTAGAGTCGTTCAACAACCTCCTTCCTTGCCGTAGGAGTAAGCGACTTGAACCCGCTGTAAGAAGCGATGTAGTGATCCATCTTGCAGTAGGAATAAGGATAGTCTGCATCGGCCGAGGACGTCGACTTTGTGGACTGTATTTGCGCTGGACTGGGAGATTTCTGGGCTGACTGCTGCGCATGCGAAGACACCGAGGCTTGATTGACCTTGGCACTACTCTTGGTCATCGAACGAGTCTGGACGCTGGGCTGCGAAGGACGAGAGGCGTCGTTCGATGTGTGCACCGAAGACCCAACCTCCAAGGTCTCCATGGCTCGTGAACGACCTTGTAGGAAATCGAGGAGATGTTCAAGCGTCGGATACTCAGTCGATGCTCCAATTTTATTTTCCCATGCCTCANAATTAAGGTCTGAGGCACCGTGCGTCTTCATCGGAGCAGGATTGAGAAGCTGGTCAAGGTGAGCTGTAATCAATAAGCCCTTATTGTCGTATCGATCGACCAAGATTCTCCATGCGATGCCGAAGGAATCTTCAGAGACGGGCAAATTAGAGATGAGCTTCAACGGCTCATTGGAGAGACAGAGACGGAGGTAGTGCATTCGCTCGACCCCAGGAATCTCCAGATTATTCCCGACCAGCGAATGGAAAAGGTCTCTCCATGGCCTCCACTCCTTATACACTCCAGAGAACTTCGGCAACTCAATCTCCGGAAGAGCTCTGCGCGTTGAACTCTGTAGTTGCGCGTCGCCAGGAACTCGAACCGATTGGTTGAGGTTAGGAGCCCCCTTCTTCTCCAACAGCTGCAGCAGCGCTACTCTACCTGAAGCGTAATGCTTAAGCGCGACATCGAAGACCTGATTCTTAAAATAATCGAGAGAGGTCAAATTCTCGATCTTCTGGCCGACAAGTTTCTCATGAGACGGTTCCAGCTTCGCCCAATACGTTTCCAGCATGACGAGCTTAGAATCCAGAGCCGTCACTCCGAACTGCTGGATGCTCTCCTCCTGTGACTCCGTGTAAATGCCTTCGATGAAGGATGCACGTGTCATCTGCAGCGAGATCAGCGCTTCGAGAGTTGCCATCTTGTGGAATTGTCAACAAAAAAAGAAAGAAAACCAACAAGAAAAACCACAACCTCGATCAACTGCTGCGAAAAACTAAAAAAGAAACAATAAGCGAACGTGCCAGGAGAGATGCTCAAAAATAAACAAAGAGCCAAGGATTCAGGTCAAAAAGCAAGAAAAAGCAATATGCGGAAAACAAAGCGTAGCCCNAAGCCAAAGACGCAGGTCAAAAAGCAAGAAAAAGCAATATGCGGAAAACAAAGCGTAGCCCAGAACTCCAGCGCAGATTCAAAAAGTGTTAATAATAAGCGTAAATAAATCGAAAAAAAAAGAATAAATCACATGCAGCCGAACTTGAGGAAAAATCAGCAAAACCCCAGAGAAGCGCAAAAATTGTAATTAATTTGACTTCCCTTTTAGACGAGAAGCTCCGTTTGAATTTTCCCGCGTGTCGATAAGGCAGTTTCCTGAAGCGATGCGTTGAGAACAGGTTGAGCANACGCAGGTCCGTAATACCCTGAGGTAGGTCGTTAGGGCTTTCTGATGGTCCAAGATACCCAAAGGTAGTCAATAATTCCTGGAGTAGGCCTGGAGTAACGCTGATACGGTCCTGATGAGGGGAAATTCTGAAACGGGCCTTCAGTGCTGGAGATACGGCCCTGAAGACGAAGTACCCAGGGGTGGGGCGATGAACGGGATCGACACGTCCCTGGTAAGTAGGACCATAGGTGCGGGGCCCTCCGATCAGGTGTTACGGCAATGCACTGGCGTCCCCGTACTCCCGCGAAAAACACGGNTAGGTGCGGGGCCCTCCGATCAGGTGTTACGGCAATGCACTGGCGTCCCCGTACTCCCGCGAAAAACACGGATGCCACGAAAAAACACACAAAAAACCGAAAAATATTCCACCGATCCGGCTCGAA